AGAGAAATATAAGGCATTCCCGTAAAAATAAGGCCCCCCCTAGACTCTGTCTCAGAATGAAAATTAATTTACCGTAAACTGGTCGCTAGGGCCGCCCCAACTGGCGTCTAGCAACCAGTGACTTTACGCGGAGTCCTGATGTCACTGCCTTGTGGAGGTGGAGTGAGCGGTGAGTGCGGGGCGGGAAAGAGGAGGAGGCTTTCGCAGATGCGTGTAGAAGAACAGGAGGATTAGAGCACATGGGACACAGCGAAGGTGGTGAGTGCTGGTCTGTCTCTGGTGACACTACCTGATGCTCGCGGCCGCCCTCATGATGACTGAAGGTTCTCAGTCAGTGGCAGACCCTGCTCCAGCCCAGATCCAGGCCCCAGCAAGCCCAGTGACAGTCCCCAGGCAGGCCCCAGGGGGTAAATGTCTGATAAAGAGGTAGAGGGGATGTCTGGTGAAGGTGTTCCGTGGCACAGGGGTGGGGGGAGGGGGATCACTTAAAGTGACACAGGAGGATCAGGGGGGGCAATCAAAATGACACAGGAGGATCAAAAGGGGTTACTAAAATGGTAATCCCCCCTCTGATTCTTCTGTGCCATTTTGATTCCTCCTTCTGATCCCCCCTGTGTCATTTTAAGTGACCCCCCTCTCCCCACCTTGATACCCCAATTCCTTTTTTTTACCCCTAGAAATGAGCACAGAAAGAAAAAGCTACTCCGTGGAGTACAAGAAAGGAGTCGTGGAAGACTCTTGGGGCCAAAAGCTTATTGCTTTCTGCAAAGAGAAGATGTTGAGTATCTGTTTGGTCCAAGAATGGTGAGCAGAGTATGGTAACCTCATTGAACAAGTGGACAAGGGAAATGCTAAAAAGTGCAAGTGTGGATCAGGTCGGCAGCCATTATTTTCCGAGCTGGAAGACCTGATCTGTGAATGGGCTATTGACAGGAGAGCAAAGGCTTTGGTTGTGAATAGGGCTCAGATTCAAGAATTTGCCCTTGCAATGGCACCACAGTTTGACATAGCCCCCGAAGACTTCAAAGCATCACAACAGTGGCTGGATAATTTCCTTCAGCGAAGTGAACTGTCTTTAAGAAGATCTACCAGTACAACATTGTTTAGGTTGGAAGATACTCAAGTTATTAAGTGAGCACTTGCATTCAAGTCCTTTATTGATGATGCTGACTTCTCTAAATTCAATCTTTCCAACATGATTGCTGTGGATGAAACTGTAGTGTTTATGGGCCAATCATCTCAAACAACAATTGAACAGCAGGGTGCCTCCTTAGTGTACATTCCCTCCACTGCTTAGGAAAGTGCATGTGTTTCCTGTATTTTGGCAATTCGTCTGGATGGCACTAAAATCCCACCTTTAATCATTTCTAAGGGCAAGAAGGAAAAATTCAACATGTTTTGGGCGTTTTTATTCTTGAAACTGAAAAAGCCTGGGCCACACAAGCAGTTATAAGGAAGTGGGTCGATTTAATGCCGCCGCTTGTTATGTGAGGGAGCCAAAGAGGTCTGCTAGTCTGGGATGCAGCCAGCACTCACAGTGCTAAAGACATGAAGACATTTCTTCATGAAAGAAAAATAGATCAGATGATGATTCCTGCAGGAATGACGACCTATTTCCACACTCTTTTTCTTTTCTTTTTTAATATATTTTATTGATTTTTCACAGAGAGGAAGGGAGAGAGATAGAGAGTTAGAAACGTCAATGAGAGAGAATCATCGACCAGCTGCCTTTTGCACACCTCCTACAGGGGATATGCCCGCAACCAAGGTACATGCCCTTGACCGGAATAGAACCCGGGACCCTTCAGTCCCCAAGCCGACGCTCTATCCATTGAGCCAAACCGGTGCCGGCTATTTCCACACTCTTGATATTGCAATAAACAAGCCATTCAAAGTCTATTTTCAATGACTACATTGAAAATAGAATGGAGAGAAATCAGTGTGGAAACTTTGTGAAACCTAAACTGCAAGAAGTTGTGACTTGGGTGAAGAATTCATGGGAGAAAATCACTGACAGTTGCATTGCAAATGCTCTGCGAGCAGGCTACCTTGACAAGAAGTACTCATTTAAAGACAATGCTATTGCTAAACATGAGAGATTTGGTCCACTGATTCTGAAAGAAATGGAGTCACAAGAAATTTACCAGGAAATTCAGGAATTGGATTATTATGATGATGTTCCAGAAGATGTTGACAGACTGTCCTTAAATAAATGAGTAAATTCTTGATACTATAGGATTCACAGTTTGTCTCGTTTGTGTTGACAACTACCGTACTACCGTACCGTATTCAGGTAATAAATTTCCTTTATTTTCATTTAACAATAAATGTATACCGTATTCTTCTTCATGGAAAAATAAGACATCCCCTGAAAATAAGACCTAGCGCATCTTTGGGAGCAAAAATTAATATAAGACACTGTCTTATTTTGGGGAAGACAGGGTTGGAATATATTATTTTTCTGACTTTTGGAAATGTGAGAGAACTCTTCTTTGACCATTTTCTTCAGTTTTTGTCGTTTTGTTTTGGTTGTTTCTTTTTAATCCTCATTAAAAATGATATATATTTTTTGTTGATTTTTAGACAGAATGGAAAGGAGGAGATGTGGAGGGAGAGAGAGAATGAGTGAGAAATATCAATGTGAGAGAGACACATTGACTGTGGCTGGGGATTGAACCTGCAACTGAGGTACGTGACCTTGACCAGGAATCGAACCCAGGAGTCTCTGGTTCGAGGGCCAACACTCTTAACCACTGAGCAAAACCTTCCAGGGCATCCAGTTTTGTTCTTTTTTAAAAATACTTTTTTATTTAATTTTAAGAGGAACTGAGAGTGAAAGAGAAACATCATTGTAAAAGAGAAACATAGATCTGCTACCTCCTGCATGGGGATCGAGTCCTGCCCTGATCAGGAATCGAACTGTTGACTTTCTGGGCCATGCCCACCAACCCAGGTCCATTTTCTTTACTTTTGACCCCATCAGTCAGCTCTCATCAAGTTTATTTTTCCAGATAAATTTACAATTTATTTCCTTTAATTTAGTCAGGATTGTGATAACCTACAGAATCCCCCCCCCCCCCCCCCAATATCATACAACAGAGTCCTTCTGTTTAAATGGATTTTATTTTGCACTGTTTATTTTATCTTCAATTAAATGTACTTTCTATCATTCTAAGACTTTGAAAGTATAAAGGGAATATTTATATTCTCAGTGAGTTACAGCCACTGAAAAATGAGGCATGCATACAAAATAATGAGAAAACAGTATAATAGTCACAATTATCAGTTACTAAAATAAAATACATGAATGAATTAATAAAGGTTATGATATAATTATTATGGCCTTAAGAGATCACAGATTTAGTGAAAAAGTTTTATTTTGGGATCAACCTTGACTAATTGGGAAAAAATTGAAAAACAGATAGGAGGTCATTCTAGGTAGGGAAAACATGGAAGAAAATGCTGAAAAATAGGAATAAGTGTTTGTTCTGGGAATAATATACAGAGACCAACTTGATTCTAAGTACAGTTTATATTGGAAACAATTGTCAGGAATTTTGTTGTTGTTAAGCCTCAGTGGGGTTATTTTCCATTGATTTTTTAGAGAGTCGAAGTGAGGCAGAGAGAGAAACATGACATCGTCTCCTGCACAGGGCCTGGGGGTCCAGCCTGCAGCCAAGGCACATGCCCTGCCGGAATCCTTCAGTCCACAGCCATGGTCTGTCCACTGAGCCAAACTGGGCTGGGCCAATGCAAGTAAATTTTCCCCCCGGTAATTTAATACACAGTTCAGTCATGTTTCTGAAGCACTGATAATTTTGTATGTAACCCCAAAATAATGTGGAGATAAAGACTTTTGAATGGGGTTTGGACAAATGTAAATTTATGTTAGAAACTAATCTGACAGCATTGTGTCATCATAAGTCTTCGCTATTAGATTGAAGAAGAATTCTCACCATTTAATGTATTAGTTGTTATGGACTTTAGAAAATGTTCTTCAGAAGCTTTCTTGTGAATATAAGGTCTGTTTGGGTGAATGGGGATGTGTATGGGATGGATGGGAGAGTGGTGTGTAATGACACCATGGAATTCATTTTGTTTTTATGTCTTACATTCAGACAAATTTATTGATAAGATTCTCATTCATATAGTGTAAAACGAAAATGTTTTGCAGAGTTTATCATATTTGTAAGCCTTTACAATAAAGCTCTTTATAACTATTTTCTGAGAAATGGGTTAGACTTTTTCCCCTCAAGCATACTGATTTTTATCTACTTGGCTTCTTAAAATATTTTACACTAGATTTAGAATGTTAATATTGAAGAAAGAAAATTCTATATTGTTTTACTGAAACCTTTAACTGTGTGACTACAAAGCAGAATAATATTGAACATTACTATATTAGCTCTTTATCAGAGTAAAATTATACTGTATTTGTAAAGTTTTATGTAGGTATGAGACTATACCCTATTTCTCAGGCTAAGGAAAAAGATAACAGCTGCCTTAATGGAAAGAAAAGAGTTTCTCCTTCATAATGAATAAAGTCTGAATCATAAAAGAAAAATGGGAGATCACTGGAAATATTTAGCTTTTCAGTTTTTGAAATGTCAGCCTTAACTACTTTTAGGGATCTTGTAAAGGCCAGAAAAGACAAACATTTGAAAATTTCTTAGACTTAAACTCTTACTTCATTAGTATTAGAAATAACACTTTTTAATTTGGGTATTTGCATAAAAACACACCTTTTTAAATGGTGCTCTATTATGGACTACAGAGATTTTGTAGTACTATTTAAATATTTTCTCATTGCCTTGCTTTAAACTTAGAGATTCATTCTTCTTACTTATATGTAAGCTTTTGAACATACTTGCTTAAAACACAAAATTCCTTCATAGTGGGATACAAAGTTAATATTAAGCAGGTGTTTATGCTCCTTTGACATTGTTGAGAGAGATTATAAGTATGTGTGTGCTTTGGTTTACATGCTGCACTGACAGAGGTTAAAAGTATGGGCCTATAGGTAATATTTTTAAGCAGGTAAAACTGTTGGGATGCTTTCCCAGGGCGATGGGATTTCCCTCCAAGCGTATCTCTTCAATGCGGTTCCGAATATAATGGGTGTCATTGGCCTTGCAGAATGTATCATCTGTAATTGAAGTTATGTTGTTGAACTGGGGGGAAAAAATGAAAAGGTGTTCAGATAGCTGAAATCAATCTTTTGTATGCCATGCAATGGAATCTCAGAATATTTTATCTAAAAAGTTGTTTTTAAACTACTGTATTGGACATACTGTGTATTCATCGTCATGGTAGTAAAACCCTTTCTATGTAAGCTCAGCCTTTATTTTTGAGTCTACAGCATGACTTGGGAGAACAGACAACTTGCTATTATACTAGCTGGAAAAATGTATCCTATTCTAATGTTGCATAAAATGCACACTGTGTCCTTAAATAACCTTTGAATAAATAAAAAGAACAAATAGGAATTCTTGTGATGCTGGAAGATCAATTTTAGTTTTTTTCAATACTCTCTTCACTTTTATCTTAAGTTGATGTTGTACAATAAAGTCACTTGGAAAGGCTTCAAAAGCAAAGATTGATTGTATTTAGAGAAAGAACTTAAGCCCAAGGTTTTAGTGTCCCTCAGCTTCAAATCCACGTGCAGGTTAACTAGGAGACACTCTGTGCACAGCTCGGGACTGATGCCTCTGAGAGTAGGCCTCGACTTGGTGTTGCTGGTCCTCTCAAGTGGTCTGGACAGAACCCGAGTTGGTGGGCAGAGAGTGCATTGGGCTCATAGGGATACTTGTGATAAAATTTACGTGTGAATGTGCGTTTTATAATGAGTCATAAGACTGATCCTTATAATTTAAATTAAAGTCAGGTGTTTGAGAGGAGCAGTCCTACCTGAAGATGAATTACACGAAGGCTTTCTGGTAAATTAAGAGGCACGGATTCCAGCGCATTGTGGTCCAAATAGAGGAAGGACAGGTTACTCAATTTCTGCAAGGAAATTATATTTTAGTGAGGTCGGTGCATTTCTTCACAAGGTTCCAGTTCTCCACACATGTATGTCCACATGGATATGCATATTGATACCGACAGAGACTTGTCCGTACTATTTACAATTGCAATCATAGTGTTTTGGCTTTGGGGTATTTTTGGCCTCATAAATGGTGTAATTTGTCTCTTATGAAGGACAGTAGATCCCTGCTCATTCCCAGCTCTATCCGCTCATCCAGCCTCTGAAAACCCAGTTGTGCCTGGCCTCAGCCCTCATACCAGTGTCTGGGGCCCTTTTAGTTTGTCTTAGGAGCAGCCAATGGGACAGTCCCAATACATGATTACAGTTGGATCCTGGTGCTGTCATAACTTGTCTTGAACCTTCAGAACTTCCCATTTTAGCTCCAATTTATGGCAAAATGAATATTACTAAAAGGTGTATATGTTTACTAGTAAGATGTTTCTCAAAGCCATTTATTAAATACTTTTTTAGTAAAAAATTCCCTAAGGGTTTGATACTGGATTACTGTTCATGATCAGTAACCCAGTTATCTATACTAATAATAGAGGAATATGCAAATTGTCCAGGATACCATCATGGTAACAGTAATGACTGAACAGCAGGCTGTGTGGGGCGACAAGGCCAGCAAGGGGGGTTAGTGAGGGATGACCAAACAATTGAACAGCAGGTAGCATGGGGCGACCAGGCCTGTAGGGGAGGGCAATTGTGGGCAACCAGGCTGGCAGGGGTTGTAGTTGGGGGCAACTAAGCCAGCAGGGGGACAGTAAGGGGTGACCAGGTCAGCAGGGGGGGTAATTAGGGGTGGCTAGGCCAGCAGGGTGGGCAATTAAGGGTGACCAGATCAACAGGTAGGTGAGCAGTTAGGAGCCAGTAGTCCTGGATTGAAAGAGGGTGCAGGCTGGGCTGAGGGAACCCTCTATCCTGTGCACAAACTTTATGCACCAGGCCTCTAGTTGAGTATAACTTTATAATGATTTCAAGATGGAGTTTCCCCTGAGATTAATCTTTTACCTTATCTCTGATGTGCATCCTATAGCAGAATTTTCCAATTTTATTTTTTAAAACTAATTTGCTGTTATTGATACTTCTTAGCATTTTATCATTCACCATATGGACCTCAGGCTCCTGTCTTCCCCAGGGGCTCTCTTCACTTGAGCTAGAGCAAAGGTGTGCACCTCTGGCCCGAGGGCCCTATATGGCCAAGGCATTAGGGGAGAGTTCATTAAATGTCTGACCAAACATAGCAGGCTAATGTTTACTAAGTTGATAATTTTGTGTGGTGGGAAACGGTGTTACAAATATCCAAATGGCCCCTGGCAGAAAGAAGATTCCCCACTCCTGGGCTAGAGTAACCTGATTTACCAGTGGCTTTTGAAGCCTAGGTTGTTAAGTCACACTGCAAGGTAGCTGAGTTTATCATTTCCATGTCAACTTGTCATGAATCCCTACGTAATGCATGTGTAAAATGCAAAGTATTCACATGTTCCTTTTGTGAAATGTTGATCAGTTCCTGTAGGTCTTTAAAATGCCAGTTATTTAAAGGCTTACTAGATTGAATTATTTATCTTCAATTTACAGGGGGTATTTATTTATTTACTTATTCTTTCAAACATTTTTATTGATTTCAGAGAGTTAGCGAGAGGGAAGAGAGATAGAAACATCAATGATGAGAGGGAATCATTGTTCGGCTGCCTTCTGCACGCCCCGCACTGGGAATCGAGCCCACAACCCAGCCATGTGCCCTTAACTGGAATTGCACCCAGGACCTTTCAGTCTGCAGGCCAGTGCTTATCCATTAAGCCACACCAGCTAGGGTGTTTTTGTTTGCTTTTAAAATTAGATTAGTTTTTTAAAAGTTCTCTAAGTCCATTAAATTCTGTGAAACTTTGATGTATGTAGAATGCCTCTAAAGTAGAAAGAGGGTTTCTTAATTGTAGACAGAAATAGGAGAAAAGTGGGATATTTTTACATTTTCTGACACATATGTTTGTGGACAGATTTTATATTGTATGATCATCAGAAATTTATGATAATGAATATTTGATACTTTTAGGTGCTTATCATTACAAGCTACAAACCTTTTTGAGTGAGGTTTTCTCTTGTCAACAGTAACAATATCTTTTATCTGGGGTTCCTTCCTGGGCTGAGATCATTACTTCTCCATAGACCATGCATTTCAAGACAGTCTGACTACCAAAGTCACACACCTTCCCCTTTTCCTGTACATACATTTCCTTGAAATACTAAATTAAGAAAAGTAATTTTTACTACATCGATAATTTTGTTTCGGTGCCATCATGGGATTCAAAAGGAAGGCTATCTATAAAATTTTATAAAGTTAAAATTAAAATTTAGTGTTTACTTCTAGAATTTCAGGTGCCTGTGGCTGACCAGAGGAGAGAAGCCTGGGTCCTGGGTATGGGGGCCAAAGCAGAGGTTGTTAGGGGTGATCAGGCCAGCAGAGGAGCAGTTAGGGGCCATCAGGCCAGCAGAGGAGCAGTTAGGGGCAATCAGGCAGTCAGGCAGAGGTGGTTAGGGGCAATCAGGCAGTCAGGCAGAGGTGGTTAGGGGCAATCAGGCAGTCAGACAGAGGTGGTTAGGGACAATCAGGCTGGCAGAGGAGCAATTAGGAGCCAGCAGTCCTGTATTGTGAGAGGGATCCTGGACTGCAAGAGGACACAGGCTGAGCTAAGGGAACCCCCCACCCCTACCCCAGTGCTTAAGTTTTGTGCACCCAGCCTCTAGTGTCCGTATAAATAAATACTTGCTTTGTAAGCAAGTAAAAAACATCAGACACAAAGTGGTCCATGAAGTAAGATAAAGATTATATAGTTTTGTGAGGTATAGGCATAAACTATAATACACAGAATGGTGTGGCTATTTGTCATGTAAATAATGTCTTCATTTATTAAGTTAAAATTATCTTAAAACATAAAATCAAATTCTAGACCAGAACTCCTCTTTCTTTTATCATAATATCACTGGCTGTCTAAAACTGATCCTGTGTTCAGTTATACTATAAAATACTTACTTTGAATGTATTTGCTTTGATTCCTTTACTCTTGATTTTGTTGTATTTTGCATTAAATAAAGTAAGCTTGGGAGGAAGAACTGGAAGTTTCAATAGTTGATTTTCAGCTAGTGTCAGTTCTTCTAACAGAGAAAGTTTTGAAAAAGTAGTGTCTTCTATATCTTCAATCAAATTTCCCGTAAAATCGAGTCTTCTTAAATTAGCTTGAAGGGGAAATATACAGAAAATATATAAAAATAAAAAGTTAAATTTCCATTTGTATGGACTGAAGAAAAGTATTTAACAAGTCATTCAGCCATATTTTGTTTTTAGTGTTCTATTATTAGTAGCTTAGGAAATTTTGTTGAGTTAATGCTGAGCATTTATTCTATGCTTACACTGGTGGCCTTTCTAACTGGAGTCTAGAATGACAGGTTCAGAAAACAGTTTTGTAAAGTCCTACTGTCTTCTGAATTCTCAGGATGCTCAGGCAGTTTGAAAGAAATTCTTGTTGCAAATCTTGGAAAATAAGCAATACAATTGATTGAATAGAATCACAAACTATTTTATGCTGGCATGTTGCATTGTCATTGTGGGTATGTTATCTGAATTGTTCTATGCTTTATTGGTTGACAGCAGACAAAAATGCTTCTCATTATATGGGACAGTCATGTGTATAAAATTGCCACAAACAATGAATAATAAATTTGGAACATTATGGCTCCTGGGAGAAATGCAGGGCTAGGTTCCTTCAAGCCTCTGGTCACACATTTTCATCAGCAATCAATACATAATTTCATGTGTGTTTCTTTTTATAGATTTCTTTTAAAAAATGATTTCAGAGAAGAAGGGACAGGGAGAGAGAGATAGAAACATCAGTGATGAGATAGAATCATTGATCAGCTGCCTCCTGCACACCCCCTACTAGGGATCGAGCCGGAAGCCTGGGCATGTGACCTTCACTGGATTTGTACCCAGGAAAGAGATATAGAAACATCAATCTACAGATCAATGCTCTATCCTCTGAGCCAAACCAGGCAGGGCTGTAGCCTTCTTTAGTATATAGTATTGATACATTAACATTGAATTCAGCAGCCATCAGCACTGGAGCTCACACTTAAAAGAAGAAAAGATCGCTAATGCATATATTTTCTCCACAAGGCGTATCTCAGCCAGCCTTCTTGCACTTAGGAAAACTAGATTGCACTTCAGCATTACTCTTAGGGGCCATTCTAAACAGTAAACATCACCAAAATGTGAAAAATGTGGCACTGAGTAGACTGAACAGTTCTCCCAGTATGAAAGCAGAAACAAAAGGTCAGAGCATCGCCTTCGACCTCGATTGGCTTAACTCAGTTGTTTTTGCCACTGCATATGTCTGCAAATGACTATGAAAGTGCTGCAAATACTGTTTTTGGGATTACAACTAAATTTTAGCAAGTCGGTGAGTTTGAAAATGTGGAAACCACAAATAGTGAGGAACAACTGTACTTCAGCCTTTGGGAGTCACCAGAGCGGCGTGGATCCATTTATTGTTAATCTTGTAAATGTGTAGTGGGGCAGGGCCAGTGTACACTCTTTGTTGTGATTTTCCTCAGAAGCATTTGACGGCATAGGAATGTAGGGAATTTATGTAGGACTGGGGCTGGGCTCTGCAGAAGGCAGATGATTGGTTTGAGAGGACGCCAGAAGTCAAGGCTGCGAATGACTGTACTAGAATCATCTGAGGGTTTGGTTGTATCTGATGATTCCTGGGCCTCTCCCCACACCTCAGCCTCTGGGGACTTAGGGCCTGCCTGGTATTTTAAATATATTTTTATTGATTTCAGAGAGAAAGGAAGAGGAAGAAAGAGAAACATCAGTGATGAGATAGAATCCTTTATTGGCTGCCTCCTGCACACCCCCTCACTGGGGATTGTGCCCGCCACTGGAGCATGTGCACTGACCAGGAATCGCACCATGATCTCCTGATTAATAGGCCAGCACTCAACCACTGAGCCACGCTGACCAGGTCTTGCCTGGTAATTTTTAAATGCTTTCCCATATATTTTAAATCATGCAGTCAGATTTAAGAACCACGAGTTAAAGGAAGGGAAAGCAGTTTCTGTGCTTTTACAGTGAAGGCAAAAAATAAAACATTGTTATTGGAGAAGCATCCTGATTATTTTGGTGCTTCTGATTAGCAAGTGGATCTTGAAGTATTGGGGTTGAGAAGACATAGATTGCCTATATGGTAAATGGGCTGTCAACACAGACACCACAACACCGGTAAAGAAAGATGGCAGAGGATATCTGAATGGAAAGGAGATTCGTCAACAAATCAGTGGATTTTTGAGAAACGTGGTACACGCTTAAAATACACCTATCCACCTAGATGTGAGAGGCCACAAGCACCTAGAATCTTGTGTTTGTATGAGTTAAATACGTATTAGCATGAGTTAAGACTAATATCTTATTTAAAACTAACTTACGTATTTCTGCAAAATCTTTGGCAGTCAGCTTTTTAATTTTGTTGAATCGTGCATAAAGATAGGCTGATTCCTTTGGCAAGGGTGGTACAGTTACAATGTCAACTTCTTCACAGTATACAGAGCCAAGTAAACACACACACAGCAGGCACGTGGGCATTTCTAATTGGAAAAAGTCATAAAAGTATAAACAGTAAGAACATTTGCCTTTACTGGCAAGATTATTGCTATTACAAATATTATTATTGATTTGAAAAGATATTTTACAGAGGTGCAGGTGATAGAAAAGATACCATGATTGTGATTGCTAAAGACCTGTATTATAACTGATAATTCACCAGAATCCAAGGGCACGAAATTAGTGCATTGGTAGGGTCCCTAGACATGACCGGTGATCAGGGCCGATCTGTGTGGCAACTGGCGGAGTTATCCAGGGGCCCCCACTGGCACCTGCGTTGTCCGGCCTGGTGCTGCCTGCTCACTGGCCAGCCCTGCCTCCCAGCCGCTCCACTGCCACTGCTGGTCGCATCCCTCTGCAGGAGGCGACTGGTGGGGTGATCAGGATATGGTGCTGGCCTGCTCACAAGCTGGCCTGTGCCCCGCCGCCACCGCTGGTTGCCTTCTTCTGTGGGGTAATGGGCAGGACAATACAGGGGGCACTGGCACCTGCTGTGGCTGGCCTGCAGGCGGGGGCCAGCTCCTGCTTTGAGTGTCTGTCCTCGATGGTCAGTGCGCATCATAGCAACTTGTGGTTCCACTGGTTCCACTGTTTGGTCGATTTGCATATTAGGCTTTTATTATATAGGATTAGAGGCCCGGTGCACGAAAATCATGCATGGGGGTGGGGGAGGTTGTCCCTCAGCCCAGCCTGCACCCTCTCCAATCTGGGACCCCTTGAGGGATGTCTGACTGCCCATTTAGGTCCGATCCCATCAGGACTGCTGGCTCCCAACTGCTCGCCTGCCTGTGGTGGTTTGTAGGCTGGCCACACCCCCTAGCAATCCAAAGGGAAGCCCTGGTATCTGGGGTTTATATATCTTCTACAATTGAAACTTTGTAGCCTTAAGCAGAGGCCTGGGCTGGCCAGGGTGTGAGGAAAGCTTGGCTTCCTCCATTGCTGGGGAAACCAAAGCCTGCCTCCTGCTCTCTGTAGCTATAGCATCTTTGTTGCATATTTGCTCCTGATTGGTTTGTGGGTGTGGCTTGTGGGCATGGCTTGTGAGTATAACAGAGAGATTATTAATTTGCATATTCTTTATTGTTCAGATTATTACACATGTGTTCCTCTTTTCCCCCACTCCCTCAATTGCTGCCCTCCACCAGGTTCCCACCCCATCCTCTGTCCTTTACCCATTCCCCATTGTCCTAATCCATAAGTGCACAGTTTTTGTTCAGTTTCTTCCCATACCCCCACTCCCCTTTTCCCCGAGAATCGTCCACTCCCCTTCCATACCTCTGATTCTATTCTATTATATTCTCTAGTTAATATTGTTCATCAGATTTTTTCAATTCCCTTGGTTTTTAGATTCAATTGTTGATAGTTACGTATTTGTTGCTCATAATTTTTATCTTTATCTTATTCCTCTTCCTAAATAACCCCCTTCAGCAATTCATATACTTATGGTTTGGTGGTGATGAACTCCTTTAGCTTTTTTTTATTTGTGAAGCTCTTGGATTCTGAGTGATAGCTTTGCTGGGTAGAGTATTTTTGGCTGTAGGTTCTTGCTATTCATCACCTTGAATATTTCTTGCCATTCCCATCTGGCCTGCATGGTTTCTGTTGAGAAATCAGCTGACAATCGTATGGGTGCTCCTTTATAGGTAACTACCTGTTTCTCTCTTGCTGCTTTTAATATTCTCTCTTTGTCTTTTGCTCTTGGAATTTTAATTATAATGTATCTTGGTATGGTCCTCTTTGATTCCTTTTGTTTGGGGTTCTGTGCGCTTCCTGGACTTGTAAGTCTATTTCTTTCACCAGGTAGGGGAAGTTTTCTGTCACTATTTCTTCCAGTATTCTTTTGGTATCTTGCTCTCTCTCTTTTTCTGGGACACCCAAAATTCTGATGTTGGTTCAGTTGAAATTGTCCCAGAGGTTTCTTACACTATCTTCTACTTTCTGGATTCTCTTATCTTCTTGTTTCTGTAGAGGAGTGTCCTCCGGCTCTTTGTGTTCTAAATCTTTGACTTGATCCTTACAATCTTCCAGTCTGTTTTTAGTACTTGGTGTAATATTTTTTTTATTTCAGACAATGTTTTCTTTATTGCTAGTTGATCCCTTTTTATTTCTAGTTGATCCCTTTTTATTTCTAGTTGATCTCTTTTCATATCCTCATAGGTCTCATTTATTTTATCAGCCTTTTTTAGGATATTCTTGAAAAGTCTTATAACTGTAGTTTTGAACTCAATTTCCATTCTTTTCTTTTCCTCCATTTCCTTCCTTTGTGTCCTGCCTCTTGTCGGCATTTTAATTGTTTCCCTGATTTGATGGAATAGTTTTGTGTGCTAGGTGTTCTGATAGAGCCCAGTAGCACAGCCTTCCCAGTTACCTGTGGGCTGTGTGTGCAGTCTTGTTGGTAAGTCTTGCTTATTGTTGGTATCACTGAGAAGTGTTAATCTCCAAGCCAATTGGCTGTGAGGATCAGCAGTGTCTCAGCTAGGAGGGATTCTGTACTCCGCTTGGATAGGGCGGAGTCTGAGGATGGCGCAGACAATCTTTGGTTCCTTGTCAGTCTCGCCTTAGAAAAGTCCTGTTCGTGGTGAGTCTTGCAAGATTGGTTGCAGAAGCGCACACCTCTTTGGTAAAGGTGCAGACAAGCTTTGGATTCCGGCCAGTCCCTCCTTAGAGAAAGCCAGCCTCTGAGAGAGCTTTTGTGCTCAGCTTGGATGGGGCAGAGTCTCGGGGTGGTACAGACAAGCTCTGTTTTCCCGTCGGATCCTCCCCAAGTCCCGGAGTAATGGCCTCTGGCTTCACACACCTCTGAGAGATCTCTGCCCGCTGCCTGACAGTCTGGCCTCTCCCTGTCTGGGGCCGTCTGTCAGAGCTGATTCTGTTTTCCTCCCGAACAAGAACGCCAGCCGCGCGTTAGCTGTCTGTCCTCTTTGCGCGCCGGGAGTAAGCCAGCGCTTTTCACGCTCACAGTTCTCTGTACCTTCACAGTTTCTCAGGGTCAGCGCGCCTTCTCCCTCCTTCCCAGATGGCAGGCCTCCTCTCAGCCAGCCGTCCGGTGCTTCAGGGCAATGCCTCCCCTGTTTTCCAGTTCTAAATTCAACTTTCTTGTGGTAGGCTGCATTCGGGTGTCTACCCTATGCCGCCATTCTGGTTTCTCCCCCAGTCCAATCTTGCCTTTTCCCTGTCCCAAGCCTGAAATTACGTATTTCTTCAAGGAGTACTGGTTACTTTTAATGGAAAATAGTATTTAGAAACCAAGATTTGGGTGTTGATATGCTCCTTGCTACTGGAATCTCATTGCTTCTAGGCTTTTCCATCAGAGAGAGCTAGGAAATATTGTATATTTATGCGTATTTATCTCTTAATCCTATGTAATAAAAGAGAAATATGCAAATTGACCATCACTCCAACACAGAAAATGACTACCCCCATGTGGACACAAGATGGCCACTACAAGATGGCCAACAGGGGAGAGCAGGTCGGGGGACCAGGCCTGCAGGGGAGGACAGTTAGGGGCAAACAGGCTGGCAGGGGATCATTTAGGCATCAATCAGCCTGGCAGGGGAGTGAGTAGGGGGTGATCGAGCTGTCAGACAGAAGTGTTTAGGGGTAATCAGGAAGGCAGGCAGGTGAGCAGTTGGGAGCCAGCAATCTGGATTGTGAAGTGTTATCCAACTGCCCATTTAGGTTTGATCCTGGAGTGATGGTTACTCTGGAGTCAGCAATGAGGGAAGGGATCAGGATCGGGCCTAAACAGCAGTCAGACATCTTTCAAGGGGTCCCAGATTGGAGAGGGTGCAGGCTGGGCTGAGGACACACACCCTGTGCACAAATTTCGTGCATCAGGCCTCTAGTTTATATAATACACATATATACAGGATACATATGTCCTATCTGTATATATAAAAGCCTAAATGATCCTTACTATGGAATGACCAGTCAACCAGTTGCTATGGTGCGCACTGACCATCAGGGGGCAGACTCTCTAGGCAGGAGATTCCTCCTGGTATTCAAGTACGCTCCCACAGTGGGAGCCCCACTCAGCTGGAAATCGGGCTCAGTTGGCAATAACAGCTGCAGCAGTAGGAGCCTCTCATAACTCTGTGGCAGCACTACCAAGTGGTGGCCGCAGTCATAGTGTGCTGGGATGAGCATGAGTGGTGCAGCACCTAGCCCCACTTCTGACTTCTCCCTGACTGCCTGCCATTCGGCGCACTGCTACATCCCTCAGGGGATGTCCGACTGCCAGTTTAGGCCTGATACCTGCATTCCAGTCAGACATACCCTGAGGGATCCTGGATGCAAGAGGGTGCAGGCAGGCCTGAAGGACATCTTTCCCCGCACGCCCTCCTGTGCATGCATTTCATGCACCAGGCCTCTACTATACATATGTATATACACATAGACATACATGCACATACATCGTATACTCATCTATATATATAAAAGCCTAATATGCCATTTGGCACTGCGGGAGTTTGACCGGGAGACTGCTTGCTCACTCTGATGTGCGCTGACCACTATGAGTGGCACGGAAGAAAGGAAGGCCCTCGCTCATAGCTGGGGAAGTGAGGCCCCAGCCGTCAGCCAGAAGGTCCAATTGGCCCTGATCACCGGCCAGGCCAAGGGACCCTGGGCCTCTAGTATATACATAAACACACCAAACGAATATCTACACAACACATGCTTGCTTACACAGAGACAGACCTTTATCTGCTTTTGTATCTCTGTTTACAAGCCATGAGTTGATGGTGATAATAGTTTAGGTCCACAGTGTTTATTCTAGCCTTTCCTCTTTCCATATTTCTAACACCCTTCTCTAACAGTGAGGAACCTAGTTCTCATTATACACAGTGGGTTTACTTTACATTACTCAGTCTTAGAACAAGCATTAAGTAGTTTAATTTTTAAAAAATACATATTTTATTGATTTTTTTACAGAGAGGAAAGGAGAGAGATAGACAGAAACATTGATGAGAGAGAAACATTAACCAGCTGCCTCCTGTACACCCCCCATTGGGGATGTGCCCACAACCAAGGTACATGCCCATGACCAGAATCGAACCTGGGACCCTTCAATCCATAGGCCAATGCCCTATCCACTGGGCCAAACCGGCTTCAGCAAGTAGTTTCATTATTGCCACAAACCCACTCACTGGAATTTAGATATGTTTGTATTTATCTATTTATATATTTGCCTGAAGGAATGCAGTCAAAATATTACATTGAAGGGTTACTTGGATTAGAATTTTCCCCTTTAGTGTTTTACGTTATTCATTTGAAATGTAATTAAGTTTCTATTTTTCCATTTGAATTTCACTTTGTTTTTTTTAATCTTATTCTTGTTGATTTTATTTACCAGTGTATTTGTTTGTTCGTTTGCTTATGTGAAGCATAACCTTGTTCTAAAATAAAATTACTCAATAAGGTGTACACAGAGAGGTGCCACTACCCTCTCACACAGCCCCTCATTTCCCATCCCTGCACTTTCCACTGCTGGCTCATCTGTGATCTGTATGTAGTTTCAGTTTTTAGTACCCCTCTTGTGTTTCTTTAGAAACAAGTGAACTGCTGCCTGTCTATCCCCTTCTTTGTGAGATGAAAGGCAGCAGACTGTAGGTACTGTTAGACTTTGCTTTCTTCACATATGTTTTCTGGAAATCATTCCATGTTAGTTCAATAGAGACAATTTATTTTCACAACTGCATAGTATTCCCTTGTGTGAATATACAGTACTTTATATGTATACTCTCCAATGTATGGGCAATTAGATTGTTTCCAATATTTTGCCATTGCAAGCAGTGCTTGAACAATTTTGCATATGTATTTTCTTTCGGATTTAGTTTTATTAGATACTAGAGGCCCGATGCATGAAATTTGTGCACGGGAGGGTGTGTGTGTGTGTCCCTCAGCCCAGCCTGGGCCCTCTCCAATCTGGAACATCACTCTCACAATCAAGACTACTGGCTCACACCTGCCTGCCTGATCACCCCCTATCCACTGCCCTGCCAGCCTGTTGGATGCCTAAATGCTCCCCTGCCGGCCTGATTGCTCCTAATCGCCTTCCCCTGCTGGCATGGTCACCCCTAACAACCCCCCCTGCTGGTCTGATCACCTCTAACTGTCCTCTCCTGCAGGCCTGGTCACATCCAACTGCCCTATCCTGCTGGCCCAATCACCCCTAACTTCCCTCCCTTGCCAGTCTTGTCGCCCTAATTGCTCTCACTTGCTAGCCTGGCCTCCTCTAACTGCCCTTCCCTGCAGGCCTGATCACCCCCAACAGCTTTCCCCTGCTGGCCGGATCGTCCACAACTGCCCTCCCTTTCAGGCCTGGGTTCCCCACAACTGCCCTCCCCTGCTGGCCTGATCACCCACAACTGCCCTCCCCTGATGGCCATCTTGTAGCGGCCATCTTATATTCACATGGGGATGCCATTTTTGACCACATGGGAACAGCCATCTTGTGTGTTGGAGTGATGGTCAATTTGCATATTACTTCTTTATTATATAGGATTGCCAAATTTTGGTCCAAATTGTTGTACCAGTTTGCATTTCCCCCAACAATGTATGAGCTTGTCCGATACCCTATAGCTTTGCCAGTGGAATATAGTAATATGTTGTCACATTTTTAATTTTTGTCAGTCAGGTGAAACATGGCATTTCAATGTAATTTTAAGTTGCATTGCTCTGTGTGAGATATAACATATTTTCTTATATTTGAGGATCATTTTTATATCAGTTGGTGAATTAACTGTACATCTCTTTTGGCTGTTTTTCCAATGTTTTTTCAGTCAGATTTTTCCCTAGATCTTTATTTTTAAATATAAATATAATTTAGAGGTATTAATTCTTTGTTCATGCTATAAGTTGCAAATCTTTTTTTCAATTTTCAGTTGTCTTCGACTTCACTTACGATGTATTTGCCATGTAAATTTCAGTTTATGGAGTCGAATTCATTGATATTTTCTATTATTGCCTCTGGATTTGGAGGTATGTCACACCCAATTTATTTTCTAGGATTTATATAGTTTCACTTTTTACATTTAGATCTGAATTTATTTGGAGTTTATTTTTCTGTGTAAGGTATAAATCTAATTGTAGTTCCTTTCAGTTGAGTACTCATTTGTCCAAGCATCATTAAAAAAATGTTATCTTTGACTCTGGCTGATGTTTCTAAGTGGTTAGAGCCTTGGCCTGTGCACTGAAGGGTCTCAGGTTTGATATCTGATCAACAGCATGTACCTGTATGCAGGTTCGATCCCTGGCCCAGTTGGGACACTTGTGTGGGAGGCAAACAATCTATATACCTTTCTCCCTCTTCCTCCCGTCTTCTCTAAATATCAATGGAAAAAATACCTTTGGGTGAGGATTGACAAAAATAAATGAATAAATAATCTTTACTTCAGTGGTTTTAGATGCTGGCTTTATTATATACTAAATTTGTACATGAATTTCTGCCTGATTCTGGACTTTCCATTCTATTCATGCACCAGTATCACACCTTTTAAAAGTATAGAGCTTTTAAATATCTTCTAATGTTTGTTCTGATTCCTGCAGTTACTTGTCATTTTTCAGTATTTCCCTTGCTGTTTGTACAGCTTTGTTTTTTCCATGTGAATTTCAGCATCAACCTTATCAGATTTTTAAAGAAATTTATTGTTACAAAGTTAAAAGAGCTGACATTTTTATGATATTGAATCACCTTAGGCAAGCACAAGGAATATCTTCCCATTTGTCCAAGTCTATTTTTTCTTTGATACTTTCAGATCTCTTAAGATATATTAACTGCTTTAGTTCATTTTAATTATTGTAGCAATATAGAAATTAATATGTGATTTTTTTTACTGTCATGTGAAATAATGTTCTGTGATTGAGAATAAATCAAACAGATAAGAACTATTGAATAGGACTTTGTAGTTTCTTGTAAGTTTTCTATTGATTCAATTGAAATGTGCATTCTAATTATTTATGTACACTCACGCACCACCTATTGATGTTTTGGTCATTGACAAACCACATATACGATGAGAGTCCGTCAAGTCATAATGGAACTGCAAAATGTCCATCACCTAAAGAAGATTGTCATAAGTTGGTGACAATCTGCATAGTGGTGTAGTACAATATATTACTCATGTATTTGTGGTGATGCAAACCTATTGAACCACCAGCACAGAAGTGTAGCTAACACATACAGTTATGTCCACAATGAATGAGTATGTCACTGACTTATGTATTTACTACAGTATAATTTTTAACATTTTGTTAGCGTGTGTGTATTCCTCCTACTTAATGAACAAATGTTTACTGTAAAGCTACATGCTTTGTCACACTGGTAGCAGCCTCAACCATCTTGTGTTTTCGGTGTCTCGATTGCTTCATTTTCTTTTCTGGCTGATTTAATGTTGTGTTGCTTTATACAGTAGCATACTTTACAGGCTTGTAACCTAGGAGCAATAGGCTATATGCACCAAGGTGTGTAGTAAGCTATACCATATAGGTTTGTGTAAGTACACTCTGCAACATTTACATGACAGCATCACTTAGTGATGCCTGTCTCAGCATGTATCTCCCTCATTAAGCAGCACATGATTGTATGCAGATGCTCCTCAACTTACTGGTGGAGTTATACACCGATAAACTGAAACTTGAAAATATCGTAAGTTGGAAATGCATTTATTATGCCTAACCTATTGAACATCTTAGCTTAAGCCTAGATAGTTTCTACTGAATGCATATTGCTTTTGCATCATCATAAAGTCAAAAAATATAAGTCAAGCCGAAACCTGTTTGGCTCAGTGGATGGAGCATTGGCCCGAGGACTGAAAGGTCCCAGGTTCGATTCAGGTCAAGGGCATGTATCTTGGTTGCAGGCTGGAGATGTGCAGGAGGCAGCTGATCGATGATTCTCTCTCATCGATATTTCTGACTCTTTATCCCTCTCTCTTCCTTTCTGTAAAAAATCAATAAAATATATTTTTAAAAAATGTTAGTCGAACTGTCATAAGTTGGTGACAATCTGCATAGCCATCTCTCCATCTTCTGTGACTTTCTTGAGGGAAGGAGTTACATTTTATTTATCTTGTTCTCGGTCTATCCATAGTACATAGGCTCCTCGACTTATGATGGGGTGACCTCCGGACATCAGAGCCTAGCCTCCCTACCTAAATGTGCTCCGTACTCTTACATTAGCTTACACTTGGGCAAAGTGCCCAACACAAAACCCGTCTTACAGTAAAGTGTTGAGCATCTCGTGTAATTTATTTTGAGAATCACTTTGGGGCCGTTATAAAGTTGAAAAATTAAGTCTTAATGTAAGTTGAGGACTAAGTTTGAGATGAATCGGTGTTTAATAACTGTGTCTTGAATTGGTTTTACAGAGACAGAAAGGCATACTTTGTAGAGGCTACACTGCATCAGCTTTGGTTGTTCTTGCATGTTCCTAATCCGTTTCTCACTCCTCACATGGGGTGGGAATGATGTGCACTCCGAACATGCCTATTGGCCTTCACTGTTGGAGATATAATTCTGTTATTTGGGGTTACTGTATTCAGAGTCCATTTTTGATTACTATGAAGACTAAAATTCCATTATAAGCTTTTTTTTTTTAAAGCTTCTAAAAAACAGGTAATAAACTGTTCATACTTACCATCATTTTCTTTTTTGAGGGGTAATGATGTTGAACTCTCATCTTGTTGTAATTGAAGACTTTTCTCATCAGATGTCATCATAGATTCTTTTTTCTATTAGAAAAATAAAAATTTATTATCAAGTGTGAGAAATTTAATTTTCACCATATGAGCTGAGGGATTATGGACAATATCTGTCTTCTCATAGTCACATAATGGCATTTACTTTATATTTTATTAGGATTTTATACACTTATTATAATGTAAATATTTGTTTAGCTTGTTTTTACTTATACTGTGGGCTCCTTGAGTAAAAGAACCAGGTCTTTTAAAAACAAATTTTATATCTTCAAAGGCCGAACTCCATACTTTCTAAATGTCAAATATATTGAAATTCCAAATGGGAACTAGGGAAGAATTCTATGCTTTGTCATTAAAGATTTTCTGAGGTGGAACCTAAAATGAAAATAGTCTCTTGAAAGTATTTTTATGTAAAGTAGCTCTTTCAATTATTCATACTCTGCCTTGTTGGCCTGTACTAAGCACCAGTCATGTCCTACCTGGACAGCCCTGAGAGGCTCTCTTTGTCGCTTCTGAACGTGACCCTAAGCACATATGCACGTGCATTAAGGCCTGGGAGTCCTTTCATTCTAGCCTACCCTCCACACTCCAGCTACCGTCCAGGCTGTTAGCTCCAGGAGACCTGGGGCCTTTACCATTTACTCTCTTTCTATTCTGGGAGGGAACGTGCTCCGCCTTTAGACTGGACTACACTGTGTGGTGCCCTCGCTTCTGTACCCTCAGGAGCATTTCCCACTTTTAATTTCGATCTCGACTCCTTCATTCTCTCCTGTGTTCTGGTTGAACAGTCCCCTCCACTCTCTTTGTATATTAAGTGCCATTGAACTCTGCTCCACTTTGTTTGTATTAATATTAAGATAGACTTCTAAAGCAGCATAAAGAAATAAAACTGAGCTTCTTTTGCTTATTACATGTTTTGGGACCAGGGAGTTTTGAAAGTATTCTTTTAACTGATGGATAGATTCAGATCATACATGTGAGCCAATAGTTTATTATTGTGATAGGCCTTTTTAAAAAACAAACAAACTTTTAAGCTATAACTAGTTATATGTATCTTTTTTGTCTTCTTGTTAGCAAGAATAAGACTAGCATATTAACTAACTTTGTTGACAGAAAATGTGGTGTTAACATTTACTCGTGTGTGTGTGTGTGTGTGTGTGTGTGTGTGTGTGTGTGTGTGTGTGAGAGAGAGAGAGAGAGAGAGAGAGAGAGGAAAGAAGGAAAGAGAGATCGAGAGAGAAAGAAAGAAAAGGAAGGAAAGATGGAAAGAAGGGAGAGAGGAAAGGAGGGAGGAAGGGAGGATGAAAAGAAGGAGGGAGGGAGGGAAGGAAGGAGAGAAGGAAGGGAGGACTGACAGAACTGGTCACTTTAAAAATCTTTGCCATCTTATTCATACTGGAAGAGAACTTTGAAGAGACCGACATTGTTAAATGTTTGGCTGTCTTTCTCATTTTTCAGTGTGTGTGTCACACTATAGGCAGGCGAAAGATATTTCTATGATGTGTGACAGGAAAACCACAATAATCACTTAGCCCATGTAAGTGGAGTATGAAAGGTGTGGTAGATTACCAACTCAGCTTGGTACAAACTGATAGTCTTAAATTGTTGAAGCTGGTTTAAACAGAAAGCCCCATATTTAGTAGTTTTTCATTTCTGGTACTGTATATAGTTGACATTTATAAATTTTGTGAAATATTATATATTCCAAAATTACAGTACTCTTCTATTTATTTTCTTGAACCACTTCTTCCTAAAATAATAAACCTTAAGCTGTTAATCCATCTTTATTCTAATACATACCTCCTATTTTATTTTGAAATAATATCCAAATATAGGACTTTGTTTAACACTACTTAATACCATAAATTTCAACTGGTCAGGGATTATCTTAAAGTTTAGTTTTCCTTAAATGTTATGTGTTGGTTACTAAAGATACTGTTTAGTTACAATATATGTGATTTATTGAGGCATGCATTCTTTAAAAATATAATCTTAGAGATACTTATTTTTAATTAATTTGAATCAAAGTACTTTTTCTTTCCTCTTACCTTATCAGACACATAAAAAAACCCAAAAGCATTCAGTAAAATAGGCTAGGTTATTTTAGAAGTTAAATTTAGAGTGGAAATAAGGTACCTTAATATTTTTTCCATCCAGGTATTGATCCTCATAATCTCGAGTAAATAAAATTTCTTCAAAGTTATCAGTGTTCTTCTGAGTTGATTGTGCTGGCTTTGTCAGAGGCACAAACAGTAACAGGAGAAGTATAGACTGCAGAATCTTCATTTTTACAAAAATTAAGGTGACTGGAAGTTAATAAGTTAGTGGCCTGCTGACTGTAAGACAATACTCCTTTTTCCATCGAAGTAAAATCCAGACCATCGAAGCAATATTTAAAAGCTTAGAGGAGTTTTTGGCAGAGTGCATGCAGTAGGGGCCAGAGAACAAGTATTTAACCCTTAGTGATCTTAAATTACAGTGCTGAAAGTTTTTATGTATTAGTGATATTCTGTAAAACAGTTTCAGAAAATAGTTTTATTTTCTATCAAAAATCCAGGCAATGTTGATAATGTTAGTTTCTTACTAATTAAGTGCCTTGAACACAGTACTTTTATGAACTTGAAGTCTTTGAATACTTGTAGTATAAATGGTTAACATGAAGGCCCAAGATCCTGTCTCATGTGAGCTTGAAATATCATATTTCAACTTTGCTACTTTATAAAAACTCTTGGTTTGTATTGGTATGAACAAAAACAAGTTTTAAGAAAAGTTTTAAAGTTTAAACTTTAAATTTAACATTATAAAAAGTAGTCATTAACACTTTTAAAAGTGGTACAAAATATAAAGAAAGCCATAATTTTAATTTTCTTATTTTTTTCATTGTCACAGGTATCACTGTTTTTAGTTAATAGGATTGCTTTATAAATTTAAACTATGAAAAGTGAAAAAATAGTATTGTAGACTAGAAAAAGATAGAAATTTTAATCAAGGGTTAGAGAAAGTAATAGGTAAGATTTAGGCTTACTGGTGGGTTTTATCTGGTGGTACACATTTTAGACTTTTTCTTAAATAATTTCAAACGGAGTTACTGGTGCTGTTTTGTAAATGCCATTCATCAAAAATCAGTGGTTAAAAATTAGGAATCACATCATTGGTGATATTTGCAGCTCCGTGTTCTTGCCTGCAATGGATATTAGGATATTAAAGTTATGTGATGATGTACACTGAAGTGTTAGTTAAAAGTAATTGTTTGAGGTAACTGGAACATTAAAAAATTAGAGATAGACTGTTAGATGAGTCACATCTTAAATGATACTTAAAATAATACTGGGGAGGGGGGAGCCTACCATTGTAGATAGTATGAAGTTTTTTATGTGGTTTTCCTCAATAGATGTTCATGTCTGTGCATAAGCCCCAAGTGGGAGGTGAATGAGGAAAGCTGTGGGTGGATGTTAAACTGATGAGTAGAATTTCAGGGCCCAGCAGCTTTAAAGGCAGTTTCCATGTGGTAGAGAACTTCGCCAACATTCTTTCTCTGGGCTGAAATGTAATGGCTTACACTCGAGAACTGTGCTTAGATTATTTGTAACTGTTGTACTCAGCCTGCTTATACTAATTATTGTAAGTTTGTGTTGTTTTTACCTTGTAAAATGAATACTAATGTTTTGTAAATATTAGTTTATGAAGATGACATAGTTATAAAAGCATGCTTTTCATTTTAATGTTTTCACAGGAGATAAAACATGTTTTTGAATGAAATAAAATAGAAAACTAAAGCATAGTGTATGATCTTAATTTTATGAGAAGCAAAAATCTTGTTCCAGACTATAGTTAGTTTAGAACCAAGCAATTTCTATTGTAAAAATTAGTTTTAGTTACATATAAAATAACTCAAGTGCCAATAATCAGCTTTTAAAAAGTAGGTTTGATTTATAATTTGGGGTTTGATAACAAAAAATATTTTTGTTTGCTAAATGAGGAAAACTGTATAAATATTTAATATTAAATTTAAGGTTAAAGAGTCAAGTGATATTTTAAATAACCATATGCCTATCTTTAATGGTTTGCTTTTATTTTTATCATTCTTTGGTGCATTTAGCAATCAAGGTAACATTTCTTTCTCCTTTAGACTAAAAAATTAGTAATAAATAATAAATAAATAAAATTAGTAAATGTGGATGTGGGTAAATATTAAAAAAAGAAAATGAAAGAATACTAATTTGTCCTCTTTCTATTCAAAACTGGTCTAAGGTCCTTTTAAATTAAAACTTGGTGAAACTAAAACTTGATATTTATGTTCTTATTTGAATGTGGATTATTTTAAATTTAGTTGTGATATTTTCTGGGTTTGATTAATAAAAATGGTCAATTTTATGGCTTATAGAGTACAATAAAATTTTTAAAGTCTTTGAAAATATCTATTGAAACATGATAGTGATTTGTTTTCTGAAAATATCTATTGAAACATGATAGTGATTTGTTTTCACATTGTGTTGCAAATTTAACAGAATGTAAAGAAGTAAATTGGATATGCATTAAGTGTCAGATTTAGGGAATCTTAGAGATTCATAGTTTTACTAATGGTATACACAATTTGATACTTTGTGCTACAAAATATTTGTGGATTATATCTTTCCTTGAAATGTTATGACCAGGACTACACTTTGGCATTTATTTGTTTAGTAATAGTTTAGGGAGCATCCGTTCTCTGCCAGAACTACAGATGAGAAAAACTCCTCTCAAGCAACTTGTAGTCTGTCAGTCAGCAGGAAAGTCAGCACACAAACCATAGAATGCACAGTGGGACCTGCTACCCAGAAATGTGCAGAGTTCTGCGATAGCTGAGAGGCCGAGGCCACAGAGGCTGCACCAGCCTGACTACGGAGAGAAAATGGATGACGAGTGGGGATGTTGACAGAGGATGATGTTCTAGGAAGAGCAGCATTGCATAGATGGGGAGAGTAAATGCTTGAGAAAATTTGTTCGTTGTATGTGGCTGGAGCTTGGAGGGAGGGAGAGAAGTGGTGAGTGGGTGGCACATATTAAGAGATCAGATAAGGGACTAGAGGTCAGATTAAGGAGAGTGTTATACTTTGCTAAGGTATTTGGGCATTATTCTATAGCAGTGAGAGACTAAAATATATATATATATTTTAGCCAGTGAGTAATACGACCCTATTTTCATTTTAGAAATAGCCCACTAATTTTGCATATATGATGAATACCACTACTTTTTTATTGTATTGGTTATATATTTAAACTTTAGTGGCTTAAAATAACATATATTTATTATATCAGAGTTTCTGTGGGTCAGGAGTCCAGGCATGGCTTTGCTTGGTTCTCTATTTCAGGATCTAACCTGAAAGCTGCAATTAAGGTGTTGGCTGGGCTGCACCCTCACTTCAAGAGCTGATTCCAGTAAAGTATTTGCGTGTGAGCCCATGTGGTTGTTGGCTTAAGCTTCAGCAGATGTGGAATTAAGAGCTTCAAGTTTCTTGCTGAAGGCCACCCTTAGTTCCTTGCCACAACGCCTACTCCATCAGGCCACTCCTAACATGGCAGGTTGCTTCTTCACAGCTAAAAAGGAAGACAGTCTTGCAGGAGGATGGACATGGCATCTTTTTAGCAATCATGCTCACATAATCGCATATATGCCTTCACCTTTGCCATGTTCTGTTGTTTAGAAGCAAGTCAGAGGTCACAGCCACACAGAAATGACTACACAAGGCAAGATTCCAGAGATATTCAGACTTGTACTGGTAAATAACATATCTCCTTGCTCAGAGTTAGCCAAACAAAGTTTGAGAGCTGAGTTCCCAAGACCATCCTCACTTACACCAAGTATAAGATTAGGGGTTCCCAAAACTACCCTCACATACGATACTTTGACAGAAGCTGGATTTATGGAGCTCACTGAAAGCCATTATAGTTGTGGTTTATATACATAAACTAGAGGCCTGGTGCATGAAATTTGTGCATTGGGGGGGGGGTGTCCCTCAGCCTGGCCTGCACCCTCTCCAATCTGGGATCGCTGAGGAATGTCCGACTGCCGGTTTAGGCCGCCTCTCACAGTCTGGGACTGCTGGCTCCTAACTCACCTGCCTGATTGCCCCTAACCACTTCTGCCTGCCAGTCTGATCATTTCCTAACTGCTCCTCTGCCAGCCTGATTAACACCCAACTGTTCCCCTGTTGGCCCGATTGCCCACAACTGCCCTCCCCTGCTGACTTGGTTTCTCCCAACTGCCCTCCCCTGCTGGCCTGATCTTGTCCCCAACTACCCTCCCCTTCTGTCCTGGTTACCCCCAGCTGCCCTTCCCTGCTGGCTTGATCACCCCTAACTGCCTCTTCCTGCCTGATCACCCCTAACTGCCCTCCCCTGTTGGCCTGATCTCACCCCCAACTGCCGGCCCCTGTAAGCCTGATCTCGCCTCACCTGCCCTCCTCTGCTGGCCAATTTGGTTCTGATTGGTCGGTTTCTATGTCAGTTAGCATCAAAAGCTCCACCTCCTAGGCAGCCATTGGCTCCTCACACTTTACCCAGATTTGGTTCTGATTAGTCGGTTTCTATGCTAGTCAGTGTCTCAGGGCCTGTCACTGAGGCCTGATCAGAAAGGTGGGTCTAATTAGCAGCCCTGGTGGAGGCCTGGAGAGAAATGAAGGCATAACTGCTGGCCAGGCCCGGAGAGAAAGAGTTAGGCAAGTGCTGAACAACAGCTTCCACAGAGGCTATACATCAGACCCTGCCTCTCTCTTCGTGCCTCTCTTTGAACCTGATTCGAAGACCCCTTGCCCAGTCAGTGCTGGGTCGCCATAGCAACCCAGTGCCGGCTGCAGGACTGACTTTCAGTTGGTCGAGCCTTCAGTCATGACCAGGGTTTTTATATATTGGGATATCATCCAAGAAGAGAGACATTAGGCATAGTATGGGAGGGTTCCAAAGTGCAGAGCTTCCATTATTCTCAGGATGCATTACCCTCCTGGCTTTGATGTGAAACAGCACACTTTGCCAACCATCGAAGTGCTCCCAAGCCCTTTTCAGAGTTTAATTGGGGCTTTATTACATGGTCATGATTGATTGTCTGTGTGGTTGAACTCAGCATCCAGGTTGACAGATTGTATGACCCAAAGTCCCCATCCTGAATCACCTGATCTTTCAGTCTCTTTCTGACATGCCCAACCCAATATTGGGTATGACTAGCTCACCCTAAGATGTAATATGAGGACCCCAACTCTAAACAAGGTTATTGGTTACCTTCTAAAAGCTAATAGCTAAGCCCAAACCTC